TGAAAACAGTTATTTTACCTGACAATTGAAGGCTGGTTCTTTGAAATGGTCTTCATACCTTCATTGATTAAGTCTTGATATTTAGAGCAAGCCACTGTGTGGCTTCTCATGTCAGACAAAAGAACCTGCCAGAGAGTAGATAAAAAAAAATAAAAAATTCTTAGGAACACCTTAGACTCGGACAGTGAGCTCAAGGACCACCCACAGTCTGTTCATGGACCGTCTGATGCACACCGCACACAAAACTGCAAAGCACTTTTGAAAACCGAAAGCTCCAAACGGAATGCCTGATAGTATACACTTTCCACAAGTCAGGGTGAACAGGTTTTGATCAGTCTGACAGGAAACACACCAGGCTGTAATCATGAGTGCTAACTAATTGCTTGAGTTTCTTCAGTAGCTTCAAACAAATCTATGTTTTTGAGCAAATTGTATGAGTGAATGATTCAACTGTTTTATGAAGACAGCCACTTGCTTCATATCTGAATAAATGATTTTAAACAAATAATTTAAATGAATGATTCAAAGACTCACCTACTGGCACTTTTAGGGTCATATTTAAAAATATTTCTTTGTTTTTATTTGTCATTTCATATTTCAAAAATCTAAATTTAATGTTTTAAATAAATCATGCAACTGTAGTGTAAATGCATTCATGACACCTACGAGCCGCATTAAACAGAAAATACATCTAAATGCCGCTTAAAGGGGTCATATGATGCTTTTTTAAAGATCATTATTTTGTGTATTTCGTGTAACAGAATATGTTGACATGCTTTAATGTTCAAAAAACACATTATTTTTCAAATACTGTACATTATTGTAGGTCCTCTATGCCCCGCCTCTCTCAAACGCTTCGTTTTCTACAAAGTCCCTCCTTCCGACAAGCGCAGTCTGCTCTGATTGGCCAGCTGACCCAGTGCATTGTGATTGGCCGAACACCGCAAGCACTCGTCGGAAATGTAACGCCCCTTACCATAATCGCGAGCTTCATCTTTCAAAATAAATGTAAAGACAGTAAATAATGTCATTAGTTTTACCATCAGTTCAAGCCCAAAAGGGGAATAGAGTCGCGTGACAGACAGTGATGAAGCTGGTATGTGTATGCAGTACACAAGCCACTGTTAAGACAGCTGACTCCACTGTGATGTGACCCTCTCTCTCTTGAAATCGCATCATATGACCCCTTTAAGAAGCAGTTAATGTGCCACTTCTGCAGTGTAAAGATGGCTTTTGTTCTGGTGATTGATAACAGTTCGACAATGTCTTATTTTTCTAATTGATTAAATGCATTAATTTTATGTATTAATTTAATTATCTGCCAAGGTTTCTTCAGTATTTCCTGCACAACCGTCCAAGTTTGTTTTCTATTCTCCATTAATTTATTATTGTAGTGAATAATCAATTTATATATTGGTCTGACAGTCTCTTCCGGACTAAGTGGGTGGTTCTTGGCCGGATTAAGCGCCGCATTTCAATATAACTTAGAGTTTAACTCCCATACATGCACCCACACACCTCATTTTTACAGCCTTTGCACTTTCCGATTGATCTTTTCATCTCATTTAGTAAATGATCTGCTTGTTTCCACTCGTGCAGATCAGACCTGCAGACTGCACACACAGGTTTCTGAGGCCGCAAGCACTCCTTAAGACAGCTTTCACAGAATCTGACCAAAAGAAAAGGATATACTTTCACTAAGACATTTCATATGTACATATATAATGATATTATATAATGATATCAGACATATACTTTATAAAAAATATATATATGATATTAGGGCTGTTTTGTCCCTTGATAAAATATGCACATCTGGCTACACATACATGCACACACAAGTCAGATTTCCCCCCATTTAAAGTAATAAGCTGTTCCATAAATAAATAAAAGTGTCAATGTATCTTATCAAAGTAGGCTATCAATAAGGCATTTCTCTATGTGTCACATTTACTAGTGTTATGTTTGTCAGTAAAGTACGAGCTTTAACATTCATACAAAGAGTAAGATATTCATAGAAGGACAACGTGAGTATTGTAGTTTGTTCAAGCTATAATTAAGTGAGCAGCACTACAACTCCCAGCATCCCTCCCACACAGCACAAGTTTAGTAGCCTACACAAGAAGCAAAACTGAAAGTAACCGATTTCCGTCTCCTGAGAAACTCTAATCACAACTGCATTTATTATTGATTATTCGACACAGTCGTATTAAGATTAAATTGCATGGCATGGAGTCTGCGCGTCGGTTTCACGTGATAACTTGATTAACATGAAACTAAACAACATGTCAAACGAGAAGTTCCTGCTGCGAGGCACGAGACCGCAAGGATACTCACGTATGTCCGCAGTCTGTGGTCATCGGAGAGACATATATCTCCAGACACACGGGGCAGAGGTAGTCCTCATATTCTGCATCGATCACATCAGTTTGAGGTTGTGTTGTGAGCATAGCCATGTCTGCTGCGCTGTGTTCCGTGTTCTTGAACTCCGGCGAGATTCACTGCTGGGATGGGAGGAGCAATAACTCAGCTGATCGCATGAGGACATACATTAATACAGCCTTATTCGTCTGATGACAAAAACAGTAGTGGGTAAACAGATGACTGCAATGCAGTACCTAGTGAGTGCGTGTAGTCTTTTAATGAAGAGTTATGAGTGCGGTATGGCAAGTGGTATCCGATTCATGAGCGAATCACGGATTTGAACCGGTTCTTTTAAATGATTTGGAAGGCGTGAACGTGAAAATGAATCACTCGACTGCGAGGTGGAATGTTAACACATGCAATACTATTACAACAAATAAAATAAATAAATAAATACAATTCAAATGCTAGGGGGATATATAAACAATATTACAGGGATACGTTAAATAGTGCACAAGCTGGCAAAACTCAAATAGCTTTTTGTTTCCTTGAGCGCAATATGGACTCAATATGCTTCACTTAAATTTTAAATGCTATAAAACATGGATTTTCCCCCCCTGAAATTTACATTTATGAATATTAAATTTATCCATCAAAATAAAAAAAAAATAGTGTGGTCTGTTTATCTTCAATAATGCCTAAAAGGCCGCATTTCCACTGTAAAGTAACATTAACATTGTCAACAATAAAATTAGGTACATTTCGCCAAAAAAAACAAAAAGGGGGGGGGTGGGGTTATGGGAAGTAATGCGATACGTTACTTTCGCGTTACTTTTTAAATATGAGCAGGCCTTGATTGTTTTTAATATAAGAAGTTCTATTTATAGCAAATGTAAAAGCCCTTTCACACCAAAAAGTGTAATGATTTGTGTTATTTAACATATTTAATTATTGCAGGTTTGTGTCATATTCTGAGTTTGCAGTTCACTGTTTTAATTCATTTTGATGAATACTAAATCTGTTTATTGCGAGTGGGATGAATTAATGCACATTCACATTTAGTCAGGAACTACAGTAACATCATGTTCACACAGCGCACACAACGCCTCTGTACTCCCGATTTCTCCCAATATGGGGACAGGAGACTTGTCAGTCAATAAATGGGAAAACAAAGTAACTGGCATTACTTTTTTGAAAAAGTAACTCAGATATGTTATTGTAAATTAAAAAGTAATGCGTTACTTTACTAGTTACTTAAAAAAGTAATCTGATTACATAACTCACGTTACTTGTAATGCGTTACCCCCAACACTGCTTTTTTTTTTTCGTAGATACAGTTTAACAGGGTATATTCTGTGAAGAACTTTTAAAATATATCTCTTTGACCTTGTTAAGAGATAGCGACTGGGCAGAGGCCAGACTTTTTTCCAATCAACATCACTCACAAATTGATTCCAATATGCATTTGGTTTCGAAGCAACATCCTCCTGGAAAAGGGCTCTTACTGATCTGTTATAATTATTACAACGGTAGGAAAAACATATTTTACCAATAGGGGAGTGTGAGAGTTGTGGGAATTGCTTATAATTTAATCTGTTTTTGCTGTTTAAACAACATAGCTATTTTAGGAGTGACTGCGGCAAAAAACCGTTGTGAATTCCTTTGGCGGTATGGGAAAATTTTATTTAGCTAAGAATTCCTCATGTGTAAAAAGAAGACCATCTGAATTAAATAATTGGTCTATCAAAACGATGCTATTTCAAAACCAGTTTTCGAAGAGGTAGAACCTTTTTAAGCGTGAAACTGTGGGTGATATAACATATCTGTGACCCTGGACCACAAAACCAGCTTAAGTCACACAAGTATATTTGTAGCAAAAGCCAACAATATGGGTATGGGTCAAAATTATCCATGTTTCTTTTATGCCAAAAATCATTAGGATATTAAGTAAAGATCATGTTCCATTAATATATTTTGTAAATTTCCTGCCATAATTATATCAAAACTTAATTTTTGATTAGTAATATGCATTGCTAAGAACTTCATTTGGACAACTTTAAAGATGATTTTCTCAATATTTAGATTTTTTTGCACCCTCAGATTCCAGATGTTCAAATAGTTGTATCTCGGCCAAATATTGTGCTATCCTAACAAACCAGACATCAGTGGAAAGCTTATTTATTCAGCTAAATCTCAATAAAAAAGACCCTTGTGATGGTTTTGTGGTTCAGGGTCACATATTAGAAACGTAAGCAACAGGACATTTTACAGAAGAAGAAAAACATTAGGGTCTCAACTGGAAGGACAGCAACAAACTGGATCACATTGTCACCGACTGATTACTCATACATTTACAAACCTAATGAGTTAAGGTAACTGAAAAGAGCGCGGTGTTTAAACAAACATTGATTTAAAGTTCAGAAAAGAAGACGTCAAATGCAGAGCGGGGACTTCTGGGAACTGTTTTGAGCGCTGACGACTCAAATGAATCGAATCATTTATGCGAACCGACTCGCTGCATGAATCGAACGATCCAGCGCTAGTTCCGCAGCCTGCAGCCTCCGGAGCGCAGGGGAGGCAGCGTGGCGCATGCGCAGTGCGGCGGTGGGGCTTTCCAGCGGAACACGAAGGTAAGAGGCGCTGGATGATGGTAGAGGGCGGCTCGGTAATGCTGCTGCCCAGCACTGCATGACACTCAACGGACATGTTTACTTTCACGTCTTGTTCTTATTGAGGTAATTAAAAAGTAGCTGCAGGACGGTGTACGGTTAAATTGTGTGGTGTGTGTGGATTTACAGGGCCCTGCAACTGCGCGAATGTTAGCAGTGCTGTGCTAGCTGCATCAGATATCTGTCAAAGATGAGCTTGAAACGTGTTCGAGTAGAGTAACAACTTAATTAATGTCTATCCCTTTAATAACGACAAGTTGAGAGATCAGATCGGACTGACTTGCGCGTTGACAGATGTATTTACTGTGAGTACTGTCGGATTATCTGTGTGGCTAACACACGTACTGTTTATGTCACTAGCTATGAAATGCAGATAGAACATGATTATTTATTAACGCTTAACTGTGGTCTCTGCGAACGCTGATTTATTTAGGTGGGGGTTTTAGCTTGACCATGTTTAGTGTGGTGTTGTGATTATGATATGATGCTATCTTGATGAATGGTGATGATGTATTGACAGGCCTCTCTGATCAAGTACATGTAAATGACTGATGTTTAGTGTTAGTATGAATTGAGCAGCTTGGAATGGCAGCCTGCATCATTGAAGGTAAACACTGGGAATAGTGTGCAGGTGTTTAGTTGGCAACCATCTAGAAGAAAAGTGCTTGATGGGGCCCCATTGCAAACAGTCCACATTCACTGGTAGAAATAGAGACCCTTTTCTCCCATACATTATTGGCAGGTCCAATAGGAAATCTGTGCCTGCAGAGTTTTGCGAAACGTTCCTGTCATTCACAGAAATGACAATTCATGAATTGTTCCCTCTTCCTTACCTGTTTGTTTATTAAATGTTTTGGCTAATTTGCTTGTGATTTCAGTCAAGGACGTCTATATATAATACCTGGAGAAAGCTATTCGTTAGCATTGCCATTCATCTCAATGAGTGCAGAACCCCCTGGAAGTACTGTTGTACATGGCCAGCTTGCTGCCATCTTTGGGTTTTGGCACAGACAGTTTTGAGTCGATCACCTGTGCAGCAAATGCTGATTGTCTGACAGAAGAACCAAATCCCAAGTGCTTCACTGCTGTTAACTCAAACGTGCATGGCAGAAGACAGGTCAAAACTTTAGTCCATTTTGCTTTTTTAATTTTATTTTTTTTAATTGTCATAATAAAGACCGGTCAGCTTTATTATAGCTATTGAAATGTTTGCAGTGTATATGTTGCTTGAACCCCCCCCCCCCCCCACAAAAAACACCAT